TATGAGCGGTACAATTTATCATTTCAGAACCATTTGAAGTAAATTGATTTCTTTCACGTCACTGTAGTTAGTTGTGTGTTTAAGTCTCTTTATCAAATTTTATTTTCATGGTGACCGTGTGAGAGGAGTGAGGCATTTATCAATTACTGTAATTTACTTTATCATAAACCTGTGACGCGATACATTTTGACTATAATATGATTTTTTGATGATGCTTGAAGTTATTCGTCAAGTGCAATGCAAGGAGTTTTGTGAATTAGCTGAAAATATGATTTTGTATATCAGTTTGCAATAAAAAAAACAAAACGCATTTTCCTTCTTTTTCGGAAATTCGATCTGAAGTTACCTAAGGTCCATTGCATCTGGTGTTTCGCTGCAATTGCTATTATAATCCTTTATGGGGGAAAGAGATGCTAGTTTACTATTGTAATTTTTGTGCCCGTAATCCCTTTGAAAATGAGGTGTAGGATAAAAGAAACAAGAAAATTTTACATTTTAAATATTTCTTCTCTACTTTGTTTTCATTGAAGGAGAGAGATTTTTTTAAGATTAGAAATACCAATATATGATTGTTTTACTTATTTATAAGGATAGATAGTCTCAAACTTGCAACAAGAATTATGAATAGAAAGTATCTACGCTGCATTTAAATACATTCCTCAGTTATTATATTTATTATTTAATTCATTGTATATTTAGTCTTTTCTCATTCAGTATTTAGTCTTTAGATACACATTTTAAAACGAATAGTTTAGGTCCACGCCAGTCTTACATACTCGAACGCTATATTTTTTTCTGACTGTTGAATACCATATTTTTCCCTGCAATTAAAAAGTGAATACCGTTAGTTATTCATTATATAAACATGTTCCATTAATTACCAGAGATTAATTCCTTTACATAAGCACCCAAGCTTCTTTTCAATTCAGCCATTCAAAAAATCATTTGAGGGTTTTGAGGGTAAATACGTTTATTAAATGTTAATTTTAAATTTCCATCGAGATGTTAACGCACAACAGTTATGAGATAGAGTGCAATAACGTCAGCACACCGATATACGAACCTAACTCCCTATCTAATTTTCTCTAACACCCTCTCAAACTCTCTTTCTAAATCTCTCTCTCTCTCTAACTCCCTAGATAATAACCATCTAACTCGCTCTAACTCCCTCTCTAATTCTGTCTCTATCTCCGCCTTAAACTCCGTCTCTAACTCTCTCTAACTCCCTTTCTAACTCTCTCTAACTGTCTCTAACTCTGCATCTACCTCTGTCTCTATCTCCGCCTAAACCTCATTCTCTAACTATGTCTCGATCTCCGCCTCAATCTCCGTCTCTAACTTTCTCTAACTCTTTCTAACTGTCTCTATCTCCGCCTTAATCTCATTCTCTACCTCTGTCTCTAACTCCCTCTTTAACACATGTAGCCAAACCCTCTCACTCTAAAGGGTATGATTTGACCTCTTATACATTGATAACAGGACAGTAAAAGCTTGGGTGGCTCTACACTCTTTATTCTGTAAGAGTTAAGCACACGGAATATGTTTAACACAGCGACAATCTTAAGTAGCGCGCTGGGTCGCCTAAGGTCACGACGCGGCCCCCAGCCCGCAGCGGGCAGACTGGCCGCGAGGATCAGACGTGACCTTGGCCGCGGCAGAGCACACTGATTGACAGGGGTCATGCTTGGAGTATAAGTACCGGGGCCACCGGGAAGCAGTGGGGGGGGGGGGGCACCATATGGAACTGGGACACCAGCAGCTGTTTCCACCCGGTATACTCACTCATTCCTCACGTCCTTCCGCAGACAACGGCCCTTGCCTCGGCTGGAGAGAAGGCCCGGGCAAACCGTACCAATGGCTGCACTACAACGAGGCACTCCTTCGGGCCAAGAACTTCGGCGCAGGTCTGGTCGCCAGCGGCCTGCCTTCGGGACCTGAGACCTTCGTCGGAATTTATTCGCAGAACTGCCCCGAGTGGATTCTGACGGAGCAAGGCCTCTACTGCCAGTCCATGGTGATCGTCCCTCTCTACGACACGTTGGGACCTGAGGCTTGCAACTTCATCATTAATCAAGGTGGGGTTTTCTTTAAGAGGGTATTTGTTTGTTTGTTAATATAATTTATTCCATTGTTAATATAATGGAATATGAGATGTTTTGATGTATTTGTTTGTTTGTTAATATATATAATGATAAGGATAGTGATATTGATAATGATAATGACAATGATAATGATAATGATAATAATAATGATAATGATAATGATAATGATAATGATAATGACAATGATAATGATAATGATAATGATAATGATAATAATAATAATAACAATAATAATAGTAACAATAATAATAATAATAATGATAATAATAATAACAGTAATAAAGAAAAGGTGGATGAAAAGATAATAACATTCCCCTCCCCCCCCCCAAAAAAAAACGAAACAAAATCTCGACCTGACCTCACCTTCTCTCCTCTCTCCTCTCCATCCCACAGCCTCCATCACGACCGTGGTTTGCCAAGACGACCGCAAGATGAGCCAGCTCCTCCAGAACCCTCCCAAATGCCTCAAGATGCTCGTGGCCATGAAGGACGTGACGCCGGAGACAGCCGAGAGAGCCAAGAAGCTGGGCATCGCCATTAAGTTCTTCGAGCAGATCGAGAGCCTCGGGGCGGCCAGCGACATACCGGAGTTGGTAGGTGGAGGGGGAGGTGGAAGGGAAGTGGAGGTGGTGGTGGAGGAAGGGTGGAGGTGGGGGAGGTGGAGGTGGAGGTAGGGTGGGGGTGGAGGTGGGGGTGGAAGAGGTGGAGGTGGAGGTGGGGGAGGTGGAGGAGGAGGTGGAAGGGAGGTGGAGGGGGAGGCGGAGGTGGAGGAAGGGTGGGGGAGGTGGAAGTGGAGGAAGGGGGAAGGGGGGAGGTGGAGGTGGGGGTGGGAGTGGGGGTGGGGGTGGAGGAGGAAAGGGGAAAGGGAAAGGGGGGCAAAGATGGATGGATGGAGGGAGGGAGGAAGGGGGAAAGGGAGAGCAGGAGGAGGAGGAGGAGGGGAAGGAGGAGGAGGTGGGGTGCTGGTGGAGGTGGGGGTGGAGGTGGAGGGAGGAGGTGGAGGAGGAGGTGGAGGAGTTGGTAGGTGGCGAAGGGGGAGGGGGAAGGAGGAGGAGGGGGTGGAGGAGGAGGGGGAGGTGGAGGTGGGGGTGGAGGAAGAGGAGCAGGAGGAGGAGGAGGAGGGGAAGGGGGAGGAGGTAGGGGGAAGGTGGAGGAGGAGGTGGAAGGGGGAAGAGGGAGAAGGATGGATGGAGGGAGGGAGGGAGGAAGGAAAGAGGGGGAGGAGGTGGTAGGTGGCGAAGGGGGAGGGGGGAGAAGAAGAGGAGGAGGAGGTGGAGGTGGAGGAGGTGGAGGGGGAGGGGGAGAAGGATGGATGGACGAGGAGGAGAGGAAGGGAGGGAGGGGAGGGGAAGGGAGAAGAGGAAGAGGAAGAGGAAGAGGAGGAGGAGGAGGAGGAGGAAGAGAGGGGAGGGAAGGGGAGGGGAGGAGGAGGAGGAGGAAGAGGAAGAGGAAGAGAAAGAGGAAGAGGAGGAAGGGAGGGTAGGGGAAGGGAGGGGGAGGAGGAGGAGCAAGAGGAAGAGGAAGAGGAAGAGGAGGAGGAAGAGGAGGAGGAGGAAGAGAGGGGAGGGAAGGGGAGGGGAGGAGGAGGAGGAGGAGGAGGAAGAGGAAGAGGAAGAGGAAGAGGAAGAAGAGGAGGAGGAGGAGGAGGAGGAGGAGGAGGAGGAGGAGGAGGAGGAGAGGAGGGGGGGAGGGGAGGGGAGGGGAGGGGGAGGAAGAGGAGAAGGAGGAGGAGGAAGAGAAGGAGAAGGAAAAGGAGAAGGAGAAGAAAGAGGAAGAGGAACAGGAAGAAGAGGAGGAGGAGGGAAGGGAGGGATGAGGGAGAGGGTGTGGGTGAGGGTGAAAGGAGGGAGAGGAGAGAGAAAGAAAGGGAGGAATGAAAGGAGGAGGTAGAGAGGGAGAGCTAATATTGAGAATTCTGTGAAGAATGATTCTGGGACGATATTGATAACAAACTAACTTGTGCGATAGATTTGTGAAATAGATTTAGGACAAGATTGCCATGAGCTAATTTGTGAGATAGATTTGTGAGGTAGATTTAGAACGAGAGGGTAACAGGCTAACTTGTGAGATAGATTTGTTGAGATAGATTCGTGGCGAGATAGTTATAAGCTAACTTGTGAAGAAATAGATTTGTGAGGATGGATTTGTAACAAGATAGTGGCATAAGATACTTTCCAGAGATATGTTTTTGAGATAGTGAATATTCTGAAACATTAGTAAGACCAAGACTCTTCTACTACTATAGATAATAATAAAGATAACAACAACAACAATAGTGGCAAATATGATCATGATATTGATAATAATATTATTGATAAAAATATTATTGATACCGATAACATTAGTGTCAACAACATATATTACTATTTCCTGTTGCCAATATAATCGGTACTTCAGCTACAACATTCTGTAAAAGTAATTTATATTATCCTTTATATATTCTTTTTTATCATTTTCCTCTCCCTTTCCTCAACATACATCGCTCCGTATAACAACTTTTCCAATTTCCGGCAGCCACCACAACCAGACGATCTCTGCACGATCTGTTATACGTCTGGCACCACCGGCCATCCCAAGGGAGTAATGCTCTCTCACGAAAACGTTGTTGCAGATGTGTCGGCCACGCTTTTGCAACTTGCAGAACACAAACCACACAAGGTAAGGTTTTATTGAAGGGATTTTAGGAAATGATTTAAGAATTAGATAACTGTCATTATAATATTTTGAAACCACATAAGTTATTATTATGAATGCATTTTAAGAAATATTTTATGAATTAAAGTTCATTATGATATTTTGAAATCAATTGAAGTTGTTTTTTTATTAATGAATTTTAAGAAATATTTTGAGAATTAGGTAAATGTCATAATTATTATGATAAGTTTTTAAATGTTATGTTGAATATTTCAAGAATTTATTTTCATGTTGAAATTTTGATGTTATTTTTAGCCTAATAGATTCTTATCAATCTATGTATATTGATAGTATTGACATGTTATTAACATTATTTATTTTGATTAATATACCAGTGTTGATTTGGTTTTTGGTAAAAGAATCAAATAATCAGTTTATCAGTATTGTTAATTTTTGGTGTAACTGATGTGAATAAACCCCTCGTTTTAATATGGAGGAGTATGTATCATGGTTTAGCTGTCATTCCCATGTTTCTCATGTCTGTCTGTTTCTGTCTCTCTCTGTCTCTGTGTCTGTATGTCTGTCTCTCTCTCAGTTTCTGTCTGTCTGTCTGTCTCTCTCTTTCTATTTCCCCCTCTCTCTCTCTTTCTCTTCACATCCTCACCTTCCTCTCTCTTCCTCCTCCTTTTCATAAGACTAAGTCTCTCTTCTTGTTTCTTTTGTGCTGAAGTACCTTCAACTAAGTAAGATATTTCAAAGCTCAGTTTCAGTTGTCATTCCCTTCTCTTCCTCCTCTTTATAAGACTAAGTCTCTTCTTATTCTCCTGTGTTGTAGGACTCTAAACAATATAGCTATTCCAAGTTTCACTCTCAGTTTCTTTCAATTTCTCTTGTTCTTCTTGTTTCCTACTCCTCTTCCTCTTCCTCCTCATCGTAAGACCAAGCTTCCTCTTGTTTCGTTTGTACTGCAGGACTTTCAACGAAATGTTTTATCTCAATCCCAGTCTGTCCCAGTTTCAGTTTCTCTCCCTCCTTCCTGACAGAACCCCGTCATTCTTCGTTTCGTCTTCTCTCTCTTCTTCTCTAACAGAGCGATGTGTTTCAGTTTCATATTCTCTCTGACAGAGCGACGTCACTTTCAGTCTCAGTTCCTCTCCCTCCTCCCTGACAAATCCACATCAGTTTCAGTTTCATCTTCTCCCTGACAGAGCCCCATCAATTTCAATTTCAATTCCTCTCCGTGACAGCGACGTCTCAGTTCCTCACCCTCCTTCCCTTCTTCCCCGACAGACCCACCTCAGTTTCCCTTTCATCTCCCCCTTCTTCCACCCTGACAGACCCACCTCAGTTTCCCTTTCATTTCCCCCTTCTTCCTTCCTAACAGACCCACCTCAATCTCCCTTTATAATCTCCCTCGTCTCCCCGCCAGAGCGACGTGATGATCTCGTTCCTGCCGCTGGCCCACATGCTCGAACGCTGTTGCGAGGTGGCCGTCTATATCGCGGGAGGCGCCGTCGGGTTCTTCTCAGGCGACATCCGCAACCTCGCCGACGACTACAAGGCCCTACGACCCACCATCACCCCGTCGGTCCCTCGGCTCATGAACAGGGTGTACGACAAGGTGACCACGTCGGTCAACGGGTCGTCCTTCAAGAAACTCATGCTGAAGATGGCCATCGCGAGTAAGAAGTCCGACTTGGAGAGGTGAGAAGACGGAGGGGGAGGTCTCTTGTTTTTTTTTCTTTTTATTTATTGTTATTATTACTATCATTATTATTTTATTTGGGAAAGGGGGTCTCCTTGTGAGAGAGATAGAGAGAGAGGGAGGGAGGAGAGGGAAGGGAAGGTGAGGAGGCGGAGGAAGAGGTATCTCTCTCTCTCTCTCTCTCTCTCTCTCTCTCTTTTGGTGGAGTGGGGAGGAACTTCCCTTTGTGAGGGAGTTAGAGAGAGAGGGAGAGAGGAGAGGGAGGGAGAGGAAAGAGTAAAGAGAAGAGAACGAAGAGGAAGATGAAAAGGAGAGAGAGGAAAGGAAGTACAGAATGAATGAATGCATCCCATCAACCTCACCAACAAAACTCACTCAAAATTTTTCTTCTCTTCAGGGGAGTGGTCAGAAGATCGTCAATCTGGGACAAGCTGGTGTTCAAGAAGGTCCAAGACGGCATGGGGGGACGACTCCGCCTCCTGGTCGTGGGTTCGGCTCCTCTGGCTGGCAACGTCCTCACCTTCATGAGAGTCGCGCTTGGCTGTGTGGTGAGTTTGAAGGTGTTTAGTGTATGTGTTGGGAATGAAGAGGGAAAGGTTTATGTACTGGAAATGAGGGGATAATATCGGTTCATTGTTTGATGTAGATATTGGAAATGAGGAAATAAATACTGGAATGACAGGGGGAAATATCAATTCCTTGTTTGGTGTATGTATTGGAAAGGAAATATGAATTCAGTGTATAGAGTATATATTGGAAATGAGGAGGAAATATCAGTTCATTGTTTGGTTTATATATTGGAATGATTAATGGTTTAAACAAATAAATGTGCAAGACATCAAAAGTCATATAGCACATTCATTGTTTGATGTATATGTTGGAAATGAGGAAATATCAGTTCATTGTTTGGTGTGAAGGAATTTTCAGTTCGTTTTTTGCATATAAAATGAGGTATATATGTCTAGGTATATATATACCTAGATGAGGTGTTTGTTATATATGTCTAGAGAAAATATTGGTTCCCTTGTTTGGTGAGTGTATTTCGACTGAGGTGAATATCATGTCAGTTGTTTGTATATTTGGACTATGGAAAGAATAAAGGGATATTAGATATATTTCATTTTCGATTTTCAGGCATTGTATATTTATTTGAGTATCTATAATAGATATTGGTGCAAAAGATTATATGAGATATACCCTAATGTGTCAAATACTTTGCAGGTTATCAGTATTTTGTTACAGTATCTGGTAAAATGACTAAAAGAAAGTGTATATTTTCATGTCTATTCAGTCGTTTTCCAAGCACATAACATAATAAGTTCAAAAAACATTTCTTCGTTACTCTAACTAACTTAGACTGAAGGACCTTGTAACATTCGCAAGACCAGAATATACATATACTTCCCTGTACCTCACCAGTCTCATCACACAGTCTATACCCCTCTTCTCTAACTATTCACAGATAGTAGAAGGCTATGGACAAACAGAGTGTGGAGCCCCATCAACGCTTACTATCCAGGGAGACTACCGACCCGACCACGTAGGCCCACCCATCGCCTGCAATGCTATTAAACTGGTGGATGTGCCCGACATGGATTACTACGCTGCTCAAGGTGTGGAAAGTTTTTTGGTGGCAGCGGTGGGATGCGATATTGGATGTAGATTGTGGAAATGTTAGATGTATATTGTCTGAAAAAAATATGCATGTTTGCTATGTACTAGAATGGTTATTATTTTTTTAATGATTTATATCCATACCTATTTCTAAATGTATATATACACACACAGGTGCATGCCCAAATATGTACAAACAATAATCTAAAGAAATGAAATATAAATCTTAAAAAAAAAAAAACAATGACAACCCCCAATCACCCATAAACACTCAGCCATCTATCTTCCTTTTACCAATATCCTTATCCTTCTTTCCTCATTGCAGGACAAGGTGAAGTGTGCATCAAGGGCTCCAATGTATTCAAAGGATACTTCAAGGATCCCGATAAGACCAAGGAGGCGGTGGATGCTGGAGGATGGCTTCACACAGGAGACATTGGCCAGTGGCTGCCGGTTAGTAGGACTGTCTGGGGGGAGGAGTAGGAGAGAGAGAGAGAGAGAGAGAGGGATAGAGAGAGAGAGAGAGGGAGAGAGAGAGAGAGTGAGAGAGAGAGAGAGAGAGAGAGTGAGAGAGAGAGAGAGAGAGTGAGTGAGAGAGAGAGTGAGAGAGAGAGAGTGAGAGAGAGAGAGAGAGTGAGAGAGAGAGAGAGGGAGAGAGAGAGAGAGAGAGAGAGAGAGAGAGAGAGAGAGAGAGAGAGAGAGAGAGAGAGAGAGAGGGGGGGGGGGGAGAGAGAGAGAGAGAGATGGTTGGGGAGAGAGAGAGAGATGGGGGGGGGAGGGAGAAGGGAGGGAGGGAGAAAAGAGAGATGAGGGAGAGAAAGGGAGAGGAAGCAGAAGAGGGAGAAGAGGAAGAAGAGAGAGAACGAGAACCTAAAGTTTACATACACTTTCCTAATCCTGTCACTCTTATCGTCTTAAACAATGATATAAACAACAACAACAAACCACAAAAAAACGTTACAAAAAATCCATAACCTCGATGTCTTTATTTACCTATTAATCAATGATTTATTGATATATATGTATATTTATTTATTTATTTTTTCCAGAGTGGGACCCTGAAGATTATCGACCGCAAGAAACACATCTTCAAGCTGTCCCAGGGTGAATACATCGCTCCCGAGAAAATCGAAAATATATACGTGAGATCGCAGTATGTCGCGCAGGTCTTCGTCCATGGAGAGAGTTTGAAGGTAAATGCTCATTTTTGTTTTTATTATTATTGTTATTGTTATTGTTATTGTTATTGTTATTGTTATTGTTATTGTTATTATTATTATTATTATTATTATTATTATTATTATTATTATTATTATTATTATTATTATTATTATTATTATTATTTTTTTTTTTTTTTTTTTTTATTTATTTATTTTTTATTATTATTTTATTTTATTTATCTTTTTTAAGATTTAGTTTGAGTTATTTATTTCATTTGTAATTATTGTTTCGTTTCGTTTTTTTTGGTTTACTTTCAATTAGCTTTATGTTTTTTCTTTTATTTCTTATCTGACTTATTTATTTATTAGACTGATTTATGTTGTGTCTAGATTAAGCTGAACCTGTATCATTGATGATTTTCATGTAATTATTATAATTTTCGTATAAATATTCTTTATTTTCTATATATATACCCCGATCTATCTAGAATAAGATACATCTCTTGAACATCATTAATGATCGATCATATCAACAAGAAAAAAAATCAAACCACAACCAACCAACTTGAAACAAACAAACAAAAACAAACTCCCCCCTCCCCTCCCCCCAAAAAAAATCTCCCTTCCACCATTCCACCACCAAAATTCAATCCACCTTTCCCCTCCCTCTTCCACAGTCGTGTGTCGTGGCCATCATAGTGCCAGAGGTGGAGGCGGTGAAAAATTGGGCGCGGGAGCAGGAAATTCCCGGCACGCTATCTGTCCTGTGCGCCAACCCCCACGTGAAACAGCTGATTATGGACGATATCGTGAATCTTGGCAAACAGGCTGGGCTCAAGTCTTTCGAACAGGTGAGTAGGATCTTTTTTTCATGTTATTATTATTGTTGTTGTTATGATTGTGATTAATTGGTGTTTTTCTTATAATTGCCATCGTTATCGTTATCGTTACCATTGTCATTATTATCATTATCATTGCCATTATCATTATCATCATCATCATCATCATCATCATCATCATCATCATCATCATCATCATCATCATCATCATCATCATCATCATCATCATCATTATCATTATCATTATCATTATCATTATCATCACCATCATCATCATTATCATTGCCATTGATATTGATATTATCATTATTATCACCATTATCATTATTATCCTCATAATCATTTCCACTCCCTCTCCTCCTCAGGTGAAGGACATCTACCTCCACCCTGACCTCTTCAGCGTGCAGAACGGCCTCCTGACCCCGACCTTGAAATCCAAGCGACCTCAACTCAAAAAGTATTTCACGCCCCAAATTGACGACATGTATGCTAAGCTCGCCTAAATAATAAAAGAATAAATAAATAAATAAAAAGTATGTGAAAGAGAGCTGGAAATATGGTTAAGGGTGTGACTGGGAGGATGAATATATATATACGGAAAATGAAGGTAAATTCGGGTGTTCAGTGTGCGTGTATATATGAGTATGGAACTAATTGACTTGTGCCTCAATAATGTTCTTTCTATCCAAGAGAACTTTAGATGACTACTTAATTAGAAGTGAGTTTCGAATGATCCTCTAGATAACTTAGATAAATTGACTGCGTATGACGGCGGCCGTCTTTGATAATATGAAAATAAAAAGAAAGTTTAATATTCATGTTATGTCTGCAAAATAGACGGCATCACAGTGGTCGTGGTTATATAGCTTGTAATATAAACTGTTTTCTTTTTGGCACCTACTCTGTATCATTTGGCTAAAGGAGATAGAACCTTTGGTTCCTCAAAAAATGCAAATGCAGTGGAAAGTTTGTTATAATAATAATAAAAAAGGAATATTAATATACAGAAGTGATTCGTCTTTTCTCTATTAGAGACTGAGGAAAAGTCTGTTTGATAAAAAAAAGGAAACTTTATTGTGATTTTTAAAATATATCGGTGCATTGTCAGTGCAATTACAGAGGGATTGGATTCCCCTCAGTTTATACTATAGCAAGCATTATTTATAAAGTTGTTTTTTTGTTTAAGTTTATGATGCGAATGTGCTTATTGGATCTTCATTTCCGTTGAATAGATTACTAGGTTTTAGATGTACAGTGCATCTAGTTTTGTATTCATATAACAGATTTACAAAACAAAAAAACTTGTATATCATTCAATTTGATAGTTGTAAATTCATATCAATATATCACTCTTTTAATCCTACCTGTAAAGCAAGCAACTGTCTCGTCAGATATCCAGTAATATTATAAATACTTATGTTATGGTAATGCAAAGTAATGTCTGTTATATATATAAAAAAACAGTATTTCTAGTCAAGTTTTGAACCAGCTGATGGGGCGCTCAGCCTCCGGTGCTCAACTTATGTGGTTGTAATAAAAACGTTTTACTCAAACGTTCTTGATTTTAGGGTAATAGAAATCTTTGAAAAAAATGTAAGTCTACCATAACAACCCATTTTCTTTTTTATATATATGTGAAGACGTGAATATAACTTCTTTTTTTCTGTTTGTGTTTAATATTGGGGGAAGAAATACTCATTGTTGATAATTTTAGTTTGTACTTCTGTATACAATAGTTGTTGCTGGGGGTAACTATGGGAGCAGTAGTGCATTAATATTATTAGGAAAAGGATGGAAAAAAGTGCTTTTATTGCCATGCTTTCGTATATTTACAGAATAGAAGTTTACGATTATCACTCTCCTTACATTGCCAGTTAGTGCTTAAATATTCACTCTTGCTGTTCATCAGTTGCAATTTTATAATCATTCATATGTGAATTATGTATGGTATATATATATATATATATATATATATATATATATATATATATATATATATATATATATATATATATATATATAATATATTCAGTTTCAAGTTTTGTTAAAGGGAATGATTATGTTTTGTAATTCCGAGCAATAACAGGGTGATTATTGAAACCTAATTATTTTCACCTACAATTAAGATGTCCGTTTAGTTATTTACAGCTCGAAGTGGTCATTTAGCCTTCATCATGTCTTAAGGAAAGGCTGCATTAATTAATCACGGAAGCGGTTTCAATTCTGCTTAACTGTGAGGAAATCGAGAGACCAAGACTTAGTATTAAAATGGGGGAAAAAGAAGTTTGTAGAAAGTTATCATTATTCTTTATATTTTTTGAAAGAGAAAAATCCATCCTGTGTGAATACATTCTTCATTATCAGAAGAATTATTCACACATTTAGATATATTATTTGAAAAGAAATGTGTCATATATGCAATCTACGTATAAAACCAAAATTTCTCTCTGTCAAAACCGTACTTCTTACTGGCCATATCTAACAAAAAAATTACATATTACAAAAAAAAGTAAAAAAATCCATTGTATTAAATACTACCACGCCTGAACGCAGAGCAAATACACTGCATGAAATTAATCTTGTATTTTTTATCCCACTTATACGATTTTGATCCAACATCACGTGACCCTCAAAAAAAAAAAAATAAATAAATAAATAAAAAAAATAAATAAATAAAACACACACACAAAAGCAACAATAACCAACCAAACAAACAAACAAGAAAAAAAGCTCACGTGTTGGTACAAAAATCAGAATCAAAATTTTCACAATTTTGATAACTTTCTCGACCATCAGGCATGTCCTAACTGTTATCACTGGGTAGTTAAAAGTTCTCAATCTACTAAGTCATATATTGTGATTTCGCGTGTGACTTCTCACTGGAATTAACTGTGTATCGTAGGTTTCTATGTATACTATGAAATGTTATGGATGTAAATAAAGCACAAAACACTTCATGCTTGTAATTACCTTGGGAGTATTGTACACGAAGAGGAGGAAGAAAGAGGGGAGGGGAAGATTTAGAGTGAATATAGCGTGAAAAAGGAGGAGGGATTATCTTTAATGACTATGAGAATAAAAGGACGTCTGTAGAGTGATGAGAGTGTAAATGATAATGAGAAAAGACAAAGGAATCTAGGAGTGAAGATACTAGTAAAAAAATAAGGAAAATATTTTTAAATTGATGATGGTTTAAGGGAAGACTAGGAATCAGAAGGGAGGAGGGAGAGGAAAGGGAATGGGACGTTTTAATGATGATAGAGAGTAGATGAGAGTAGGGTAAGTTCACAGTGATTTTATGGCGAAGTGATGATGAAGACGAGAAGGGGGGGGGGGGGGGAGAAGGGCGTTTTATAATGATGATAGAGGAAATGGTAATAAGGAAAGATATATTTGATGGTGATAATGATAGTATGAACTAAAAATGAGGAAAAAATAAAAGTTATTTTTAAACGAATATGATATTGACACGAGAATCGGAACTAAAATGGTAGTCTTAAATATTTATAATGATAGTGACACTTTTGATGATAGGGACGAGCAAATCACATACAAAGATGAGAAAGAGGAAAAAAAGGGGTCTTATAATCATGATAATGAATATGGTCAGCAGAGGCCGGTGGGGATGGGGGGCGATAGTGAATATGAGTAAGAGGGAAAATGAGAGTCTCTTAAATGAAAACAACTTTAATGAAATGATTAATTCTTTAAAGAAATCAAAGGTCATATACCACTATGAAAAATGATTGTGGTGAAAGGGTTTTCAAGAATTTTTTTTTTGTCAAAAATTTCAACGGTCACATAGCATTATAAGATAGAATGGTAGTGAAAGGGGAATTTTATGGAAAACAGATATAGCCTCGCCTAGAATACACATCGATCACAGAAGCTAATTCGACTGGTAGGTACATATTGTGCTTTATTTATACAGAAAGGGTAAAATAAAACTAGCGATGCATTGATAATGTTCTTTATTGGGATAAAAGCTGACATGCTGTTCTCTCACACAAGCCTTTTCCATCCAAAAGTTTTCAGTCACTGAAGGTAATTATAACATATGCAGACACATAAGAGTATTGTCTCAATAACTCGGAATACCTTCGTTTCTTAAAATATAACACATAATTTCAATATTTTTTTAATTAATGCCATTAAATCAATCGGAATGCATAATGTTATAACGAGAAACCTTAATAAAGACAATTATTTTTTTATAAGGCTTTGTCTAACAAAATCTCGTTCACAGACCAAACGGGATAAATCAGAAAGTGACAATCATTAATATTAAGAGCTCTTTGAATCAAGAGCAAAATGACTAGCATGAAAACGACCTACGTAAATCTCTTTTTTTTCACCGCTATAAACAAAATAAATAAGACCTCTCTACATGGACCTATTTAATTTTTCACAGTATACATATCCCTCCTTTTTTCACTGCTACGGAACATAAAACCTCTTTATTCACAGCTACAGTACATTAGTTGTTCCTTTTTCACTGCTACGTTTCATAAAACTTTTCACAGCTACCTTCCTTCTTCACATCTAACCGCTACGATTCATAAACTTTATTTTTTTTACAACTACAGTGTATAAACCCTTATTTTTTCAATACATTACTCTCACTTTTTCACAACTACAATACTTTTCTTTTTCACTGCTACGGTACACGAATCTTTTTCTTCAAAACTATTAATAACGAAAAATATATAACGACGGAATATGTATAACAGAACACACACAATCATTATTGGGGGAACAACCCTACATTGAAGACATCCTACAGTTCATTTAAATGGGCGATTATGAAACACAAATCACAAGTCTATTCATAAAATTTTCTTTACAGTGATGAAACCGTTGTCATATTATCAAATTTATCGACATAATTCTCAAGATAACTACTACCAATAGCATCAATCTAGTTGGAAAAAGGATCTATATATGCCAAAAGTGTATATATAGATGGCTATGACTTTAATGGCTGGGAGGCTGAGGATAAAGGGAATCGTGGGGGGGGGCGGTTTAGATGGAGAAACAACAACAATAACAACAACAATAACAGAATTCTGCAAATATCTGCCTTTAACCCAGGGTCAGAGTTAAAAACAAATATCTTGAGAGGATGTTGTATCTTGGGGTTGGGCGTACTGCATGCTTACTCTCTGTGGTGAGAAAAGACATTAGGATTCTATATTACGAAACAGGTGCTACTGTGGATGGAGTTTTGTTTTCACTTTCTAATTCAAAGAGGAGGGTTTTTATTATGGGGGTTTCTGGTTTTGTTCCTTGGAGGGTGATATGCGACATACTACAGGGCTTTTACAATGGAATTAAAAGGGGTGGAGTGGGTTTTATCAGGCGAAAAACATTTAAGAACATATGGTCTATATTTCTCTCTCTTATATTCAAATATTGTCTCAAATATCTATATGTCATCCTCCTTCATTACCGTTAGGCGGGAGGTACAAACCGAACAAAAACAAAAACAAGAAAACAATACGAAGGTCGACAGAACAAATATATAAATAAATACACTCTCATTAATACATTTTACATTAATATAGTTCATGATTTACATCTGGTACTCTGATCCATACCCATTGACTCCGTCCCTCTTAAGTTTCCTCTTCCTAATAGTATCTGTAGGAGCGTAGTTGGTCTTCCTCAGTAACTGTCTGAAGTTGTAAGGACCCGCGTCGTCGTCAGTTGAAACCTTGCCGGGGCCTGCTGGGGCCGGAGGGGGCGGGGCCTTCGCCTTGGCCGATGCCCCGTTCGAACGAAGCATCTGGCGGAGATCCGAAGCCGCTTTCATGTTGGTGGTTGGGGTCACGCGCCTATTAGGGGAGAAGGGGGAAGGGAGGTGAGGGGAGGGGAGGAGAGGGAAGGAAGGAGGAAAGGAGGGAGGGAGGGTAGGTGGGAAGTAGGGAGAAGAAGGAAGAAGGGTGAGGGAAGGGAAGGATGGAAGAAAAGCAGGATAGAAATAGAAAGTTAATAACCTTTAGATTGGATTTTCTTACAAACACACCTGGATTTAATGAAGACCTAGAAAAAGCATACTTGAAATCCATGCCTGTGCTATATGGCTTCTCGTCCCCTACTCACCCTTTGGGCACCAGCTCGGGCGGGGGAACGCCGGCGCCGAATGCTACCGCGCCTTTCCACTTGACTAAATGCTCTTCCGATTTCTCCTGATTTGCCATGTTCTGATTAACCAGACCCTCCTTCAACACCTTCATCTTCTCCTCCCGAAGGTCCACCTTGCTCTCGGGCGTCTCGGCGGTCTCAGTGGTCTCGGGGGTCTCGGAGGTCTTAGTGGTCTCAGTGCTCGCAACAGTCTCCGTGCTCCCAGCAGCTCTGAACCAAGAAGAGAAAGGGGGTTTACTCGTACCAAAAGGATGGGAGTTATTCGCACCACGGGGAGAGGGGATATTCGCACCATCAGGGTAAGGGTTATTCGCACCACGAGGAGAAGGGTTATTTGTACTACAGGGAAACCATTTTCCCCCCTATCAGAAGGGTTATTCACACCACGGGGTGAGGAGTTATTCAAACCACAAGAAAAGGGGTTATTCGTATTACATGAAAGGAGTTCTTTGCATTCTCACCACGGGGAAAGGGGTCATCTGCCACACGGGGAGAGATGTTATTCCAACCACAAGGAAAGGGTTTATTCGCACCATGGGGAAAGGGGCTAAATTACACCACGGAGAAATGGCTTTACATCACAGGGGAAAAGGGTTATTGGCACTACGGGGAAGAAGGGCTACTCGCACCAAAAGTGAGGATTATTCAACCCACAAGGAGAGAGGATTATTCGCGCCATGGGGAAAATGGCTTCATTACACCGCGGGGATAAGTGTTGCCCGAACCACGGGGAAAGGTATTATTCCCACCACGGGAAAGGGGCTATTCGCACCACGGGGAAAGGTATTATTCGCACCACGGGGAAAGGTACTATTCGCACCACAGGAAAAAGGGCTATTTTCAGCACGGGGAAAGGGATTATTCGCACCACTGGAGAAAGGGGCTATTCACACCACGGGGAAAGGTATTATTCGCACCACGGGAAAAGGGGCTATTTTCACCACGGGGAAAGGTATTATTCGTACCACCGGGAAAGGGGCTATTAGCACCACGGGGAAAAGTATTATTCGCACCACAGGAAAAGGGATTATCACACCACGGGGAAAGCTTTTTTTTGTGTTTTTCTATATAGTAATGTATGCAAAGGTATATGCATTTGTATACTTACCCTCAACCAGTGTTTATATTGTGTTTACCAGCGAGTGTATAGCGTACGTGAATGGGCATCTGCCAACCGAACTTTGAAGCATGTGAAGTATAGTATTTAAAAAACGAGGAACCATGTTTAAGGATTCATAGATACATACATTTTTTTCAACAGCCGCTCATTCCACCGCAGGACATAGGCCTCTCTCAATTCACTATTGAGAGGTTATATGGCAGTCTCATCCTTGCCTGATTATATATATATATATGTGTGTGTGTGTGTGTGTGTGTTAATTTAAATATATGTATATACATATGTATATACAAATGTATATATATATATGTATATACATATATATGTATTATATTTATATACACATGTATATTATATGGATATACATATGTATATACATGTGTATATATATATATATATATATATATATATATATATATATATATATATATATATATGTGTGTGTGTGTGTGTGTGTGTGTGTGTGTGTGTGTGTGTGTGTGAGTATTTGTATGTATGTAAGCATATTTGTATATAAAAGATCATAATGCTTGAGAACAATAATACTATCCACCGCCATGATAACAGTGAAAATGGAACCAAAAAAATATATACGATAGATCAACAAAAATCCACGAAAAAAAATATCACAATACGACACCAAGCATAAAACCTGAAAAACAAAACAAAACAAAACAAAAAAAAGTAGAATTAAGCAAAGCTAGCCTAATTCAGCACTAGACCAGCAACACTGAGACTAACATCTGTGCTACTGCGTCAACAACAGCAGACTGACCTCGGTCGGAATGGACGCTGGATTTTCGAAGCCAAGGGCGCGTCCCAGGGGGTATCGGGGTTAAAGTCCGGTGTGGGACTACGTGAGAGGAAATAAGGTTAGTGGGAGGAACCTGGTTTGAAGTATTTCTATTTCGTTTTGAAGTTGCCATTGTTTGTGGGAAGTGGTTTTGTTAGAGTTAGTGGGAAGAACCTGGTTTGAAGTGCTTCGGTCTGTTTTGAAGTTGCTATTGTTTGTGGGAAGTGGTTTTGTTAAGAGTTAGTGGGAGGAACCTGGTTTGAAGTATTTCTCTTTCGTTTTTTTTAAGTTGCCATTGTTTGTGGGAAGTTGTTTTGTTAAGCGTTAGTGGGAGGAACCTGGTCTGTAGTATTTCTATTTCGTTTTTAAGTTGCCATTGTTTGTGGGAGGTTGCTTTGTTCTGGGAGATGTTAAGAGTTAGCGGTTTGAAGTATTTCTATTTCGTTTTTAAGTGCCATTGTTTGTGGGAAATTGTTTTGTCCTGGGGGATGTTAAGGGTTAGTGGGGGGGTGAACTTTGAACTATTTTGTTTTGTTTTTTGAAGTTATGGTTTGTAGGATGTTGCTAGTGGCAGGTACTTGGTTAAAATATTTTTTAATTTTAAGTGCTTCTTTTCGGTTTGTGTTTATTTGGATTTTTATCTTTCTTAGAATGTTAAGGTTTTGATATTTCTTTGTTGAGTTATGTTATAATTGTTTTTGTTATTTTTTCTTTATTTCTTTTTAGAGTAAGGAGTAAGTAGAAGGAACTTGGTTTAGATATTTCTTTGTTTTTAAGTTGTAATTGTTTGTGTTATTATTTGAGGAAGTTAAGAGATAGTGGGTAAGAAGTTAATCTTTTAAATGTTACCTTTGTGCCGATATATATATTTTTAAGACAAGATTTGATCTTGCAGAAGGTAAAAGTTGGAAAAAAATATATAATTCCCTAAATGTTACTGAAAACGTTGGTTTCATCTGTTAGAAGGTAAAAGTTAGTGGAAGAAACTTGACTTGCTTTTAAATTTATTTTTTTGTGTGTAGTTTTTATTTTTTGTAAGTTTGATTTATCTGGTTAATAGGTAATGGGGATAAATTTGACTGATTTTAGAATAATCTTTGACATTAATCTAGTGTTATCTCTACAAATTATATTTTGAACGTTTGATGATCAGAGTCATGACTCATTTTAACACATAATTCATATTTTTGACAATCTGAAAGAAATGAAACTATTTTCTTTTTTCCTAATATTAATCTCAGAATGTAGTAATGGATAATAATTGGAGGAAATTAATTATTTCATATTAGATTTATCCATTTATTTGTATATACTGTTTTCCTTAAAGAGTAAAATGTAGGATTACAGAGTAAGTTGGGAAAGGGTATCGTTACCAAGTTGGATAATTTTCTTTTTTTTTTCGCTTTCAAAGACTACAGAAAATTCGAAAAGATGTTTTTTTTACTCTTTTTTGTGTATTTCTATCGTTACATGTTTGAAATAGATTCACTGATTAATCCCCTACTGTAGAATATATGGAATTCTCGCCACTGAGATTAGCAATACATATCTTGTGATTTATATGTGTTCTGATGTTTTTTTTCCCTTTCTCTCTCTACCGTTTTTATTTTATTGTGAATATAAGAAATGTATCCCTACGATTATTAATTTGTTTTTATTTTCTATTTTCTTATTTCATATCTTAACTCTTTGAGGCAGAGGGTTTTTAGAGGGAAAATTCACCTCAAGTTACACAAAAAGGTTGATACATTTTTACTGAGAGAATAGGCAGGTACCGCATTCTATAGTCATGCTTGTTTACTTGGTCATGAATAGGTAAGTTAAGAAGAAAAAAAAACGTGTGTCTTTAAACTTTTAGAAAATGAATATATGAATAAAGCACGAGGTAAAATTTACCCACGGCAGTGCATGGAGACACGATAAAGAGAAGTGACATATTTGGAACATTTTTTACCTCAAAGAGTTAAACAATACGATGTGTGTTGCAACATGCTATGTCATGCATTTATAGAATGTTTAGTGAAGAAATGTCACCTGAATTTGCTGACACATCTTATTATACTAACTGAAAATTACAGTATGCAAGCCAAGCAGTGAAAATTAGAATATGTGTGACAATTATGAAACAAGAAATGAATGTGTATAACCTCATATCAGACATATTGTATTGCGAAGTTATTTATTTTCATTCATAATATTTTCAACATTAGAGAATGTATGTAAAGCCATAAAAAAGTATAAAACAAGACAGAAAATTATAAAATGAAACATTCATTAAAAAAAAGGTAGTGGAAACTATAAAACAAGAAAAAAACAGAAAATTATAGAATGAGACGCCATAAAAAAGGTATTGGAGTCTATAAACACAAGAGAAGACAGAATAAAAAAACAAACAAACAAACAAAAGATCGCTCACGCACTACTTTCCTTTGCGGAGGCTGATGAGTTGAACGTACCTTCTCATTTCCTCTTGCAAGAAATCGTAATATTCGGAGATTTTTTCGTCCGTTGAAGTGATCTTGATGACAGGTCGGTTGGCGGAAATCGGCTGCGTGAAAAAAGAGGGCGAAATAGTTGAATATGAGTCAGGATTTATGATTAACATTTACGACCCACGCATACACTCATGCTTATCAAATAGGCGGAGGAATATAGATCACTTATATGATTTTATGTTTTGTGTGTCTATGGGTCTTATCTGTCTGTCTCTGTGTCCCTCATTCTCTCTCACTGACATACACATATCTACATCAAGATATATCAATATCTACATATGTATTTATTCTCTATAGCGTACACATGTATACAAATACACACAGAGGCTCTCACACACACTATCCACGCAATCCACGTACCCAATCGCTACCAATACCCTCTCTACTTCCTACCCACACTATCTACAATCCAAGTCCCGGCCCACCCATCCCTCCTTTCCTTCCCTAACCCTTCACTACCACCCCTACCCAACCCCCCTCCCCGCCCAACCCCCCTCACTATCACCCCTACCCAACCCCCCTCACTATAACCCCTACCCAACCCCCCTCACTATCACCCCTCCTTTCCCTACCCCTTCACTGCCACCCCTACCCAATACCCCCCTTCCCTACACCCTCAGAACCACCCCCACCCTTCCCTACCCCTTCAACCCCTATCCAACACCCCCCTTTCCCTACCCCTTCACTACCACACCCAACCAACACCTCCCTCACTACCACCCCTACCCACCCAACACCCCCTCACCACCCCCTCCAACTCACGGGCTGCGGAGCTCCTCTCTTCCGCTGCTCGTGGATCACTTGCGGGATGTGGTCGAATCCCTTGGGCCTCTGGTAGTCCTTGGGCGCGGCCTTGATCTCCTCCATGCGTATCCCGGCCTTGTGGCGTCGGAGGTACTTGTGGGTTTCCTGGTTGGACATGTGCACCTGTGGGGGAGTGGGGGGGAGAAGAAGGGGGTGCGTCAGGTTAAGTTCGTTTCGGTGGAAAGGGAGGATATTTATTTTTTGGGGGGTTCTTTTTTGGGGGGGGAGGGGGTAGATTTTTTTTTTAGTGGGGGGCCTTTTATTTAATTAAGTAATTAACTAATTTATTTATTTTGAAGTGCTCATTATTCTCTTTGTGGGGGTCGAGTTTTTTTTTCCCTTTTGGGTGTCTAGAGTTATTTGATTATATCTGCTTAGACATGAATAATGACTAGTTATGCTGGTTTGGTTAATGGGTATTTGTTTCAATATAGTTTAAACATAACATTTATAAAAGTAAGTACTGTTTAAACATATCAGACAAAAAATGGTCTAGATAAATACTGATACATGGACATGTGCTTAAGTATGTTTGATTAAATCTATTCCTTTTTATAAGCATGGATTTACTAAGAGTGTACTTCGAAATATAAGGTAAAGTATGTTCATTGTGCATAAATGAAAGCATATAAATGTACACCAGACTGGCGAATATAATTAAAAAAATACGAATATGTAAGTGAATAAGTAAATAAAACAAGGAAATATAGTAATACCTTTGAACTAATTAAGAAAAACACAAATGCATCAACAAGAAAATATGAAAAATAAAGCAAGAAAATGCAAATGACAAAACAAGAAAATATGAATAATGAAACTACAAGAAAATGTGAATAAAACAAGAAGATGCAATTAACAACAAAAAAGAGATAAAATACGAAAAACAAGACAAGAAAACACGAACAACAAACTAAGAAAATATGAAAAACCAAGAAAACACGAAAATCAAACCAAGAAAACCACGAAAAACAAACCAAGAAAAACCACGAACAACAAACTTAAGAAAATACGAAAAACAAAACACAACAATCCAACCAGCCAACACAGCACCAACCACAACGCGCTCCTCCCCCTCCCACGTACCTTCTCC